ATACACTACAACTCAAAAGCAGGAACTGGAATAGTCAGGTTGGTATGTTGAGGGAATGCAATGGTTACATTTGGGGAAGCGCTTTGTAAAGGAATAAACAAACTCTGCCCCGTTTGCTGTACTGAAGTGAAAACCAGTCTTTCAGTGTGCCTGAAAAAATAACATATGACAGTAGTAAGATTTTTTTTTTTTTTACACCCTTAAGAGGTAGGGCAATGAGGGAATTGCAATTAATCTGTGACTGGAGAAGGAATAGGAACAATGTTCAAGGAAAATAGAGATGGCTGTTGGAGAAGTAGGAGAAGAAATAAAGATTAAGGATTTGAGTGAAAAAAAAAAAAAATTAAAAAAGAAAAAATACTAAATCAAGTAAATATACAAGAATGTGGCCGAGAAGCAACTTTATACGCGTTCATCAAGTGTTTAAAATTTTACATGAGTAACTAATAAACTAGTTGATTCTTCTTTCCCAAATTAAGGAATTATAATAAAAGACATTTGTAACTTTACCATTTCTAAAAATATATTTAAAAAAGAAAAAGAATAACTGGCAGTACATTTGTTATTGATACTTTTATGGAATATAAAAGAAAAATATTTATGATTTCATAGAACACTTTGTGACATTCCTATGCATCAAGCATAGTATTATTACATCCACTCTATATTCATATCAGTTTCTTCAGCTTGAAGAAATCTACTCTAATAGGGTACATCTTTTAAAATTATATACACAACCTTTTGGCAATGACCACTGTGAGAAAGGGTGCCTCCTCTGTTTCAGCAGTAATGTTATGAAGTCAAGTACAAAATAATTAATTCATATTAGATACAATATATGATTGTACAGGATTTGAATATAAAGAATAATCAATAATAAAGTGAAAACATGAGAGCAATTCACTTATACATGGAGCACTATAATTTATTATCACAGTATAAACACAATATAGCAAGGAACTACAAACTTTTACGATCATCTACTTAAAAACCAAAATATAATAGTAGCTGTTTCTTATCTACACTGCTTAACCCACTTGCGCTGGGTGTCACACATAGGTGACACCTGGAAAAATAAACATGGCAAGCTGTTCCACCTGTGTGACACTAGATTGGAGCTTGTGCTCTGATTTTGTTGTTTGTGGCAGGTGGTGTGTGGGCAGGTTCCCGATTTTGGTATCGCCTTCCAAATAGACTGGCGCTAGTGGGTTAAGAATTTCTGACCTTTAAAAACTGTCATAAAATACTAAACACAATGGAATATTCAATATTAACCCAGTCACGCCGGGTACATTTTGTAGCCAAAATAAAAAAATCCGGGCGGCTACAAAATCGGCGGGCGGAGCTTCCCCGGAGTCTGTCCGCCCGCCCGGCTGCGCGCCGCTTCTGCCTCGGAGCACAGCCCCGAGACAGCATCACACTGGCAATGTTTATTTTTTCCGGTGTCTCATATATGTGACACCCGGACGAATGGGTTAATAATAAAACTAATAGATAACAAAATCTAAAGACCAAACACATGCAAGAGACTTTGAATTACTTCTGCTTCTTACAAAAACTGCCTGCAGTAACACACTACTGCTGGAAAGAACTAAAACAGAAGATTGGAAGAAAAAAATAAATCACATTCTCACAAGCCACTTTTAAAAGCTGTGCAATTTCATCATACTTTAATAGATAGTTGATAATACTGTACTGACAAGGGTGAATATGCAGAGTATTACTTTATTTGCTGCACCAGTGTTCCAGCTGGAATGGAGTTATGCACTCTCCACCTTATCAGATCTGAACTTCCTTAAACCAACAGTCTTTTACTGGGAAAAAAGCTTATATAGTCCAGTCACAATACTAAAATACAAAGGAGTATTTCTCCTTACAACTTCATAAAATAATGAAAAATATCATCACTAGCTAAATGAGCAATGATACGGGACTGAAATAGTACAAGAAAAGTCTAACTTCATGACTGTGGTATGGGGTCTGGCTCCTGATAGCATCGAGGACGCTGGGTGTCAGGATCCAAATACAGGACACCACAGACTGCTGAGAAACCGAGGATGATGAACAAAAGCTTAAGCAATCTGTTTTCGCCGTTGTTCATTTCATGAGGAAGAACCTACAAAGAAAAAAAAAATAGGTTACACATGCCTTTCAAAAAACAAAGTGAATGCAAGCCAAAAGCAGAAATGATTCACTGTGACTTTCTTACCTGATTTTTCAGGATATAAAACAATTTCATATGTAGCACTTTTCATTGGCACTGAAAAATAGCATGAAAAAATTAACACTTACCTCAAAGAACGTCACATACAAGAAAGTCCCACACGCAATGCCCTGCAGAGTTCCTGACAGAATAGTAGTCGTGAACGTCTGGAGCTCCATAATACCCATCCGACACCAAGTCCAAAGGGTGCAGTCACGCAGAAGAACATGATTCCTAAAAGCATCTGTTGGAGGAATCGTATTCAATAATGCAGCAAAATAAAAAGGGAAATCGGGA